CCCCATAGGTCCAATTCCCTTCACGGGACCTTTGCATAAGACACACCTAACCACTGCCTCCCAACTAGCTTTGTCGGTGCTGAAACGTCAAGGATCCGCCTTGGTGTTTTCCAAGTTCCTCTCCTTGAGTGCTAAAGGATCGCAGAAGACATATTTCCAAACCGTATCTAGAGGCCTACTAGGTCTGCCTCTAGGACTTGGAGGATGATGAGGGTTGGTCTCCTGCCCCTGGATCCCTCTTTGGTCTCCCTTGCAGACACCCTGTTCTCGCAGCAACACTATCCTCAACACTTGGCTGAGGGTTTATGTAGCACACGTGGTTTTTACCCTTTACCCTATGGTGATTTACCTTAGGATAACACTACGAAGCAGAACCTAAACCCTTCATGTGCCATGTGTCATATGCCACATGTCCATAGGACAGTAGTGTGGAACCTGAGGTTTAGGGCCTTGGGCCATTGAACGAAGGAACAGTACCAAACTCCCTTACATAGAGCCAAGGAGTGACAGAACTGGACCATGGAGCAACTCTTGAGCATACAGCCCAAGGAGTGAAGGGACAGAAGCTCGGAGTGACTTGGAATAGTTTTAGAGCAACCAACATCCCATTGCCAGGACTAACACATAAAACAGAGCCAAACGGAGTCTAGCACTATTTCGACATACTGGTGGCCTAACGCAAGGACATGGGTACTCCACCAGCTAACATGGAATGGAACTTAGGCTTAGACTTAAGCCGGACGCAAAACAAGGATAGGCACGCAAGCGGGAGCTAGACTATGCCTCAGGTTGGTTGGTCGGCCATGCCCAACCGACCCACTATCCCTACTATACATTTGGAACCCCCCCCCCAAACATTAGCAACTGCAAGTCAACAAATGAGTTTCTCTAACCAGGTCAAATATGCTTGACTAAATAGATACTTAGGAATTCCTTCCTTATGCTCATCTGGTCAAGTGCACATAATTTCTCAACTATCTTAGGCGGAGACTGATAACAGATCCAGCAATACCGATCTCCTACCGTCGTGGCAATAAGAAAAGAATATCCGAAAAGATTAGCTGACAAGTAACTTTTGATACCCGAAGTCACATTCGCGACACTCTCCCCCCCTAGGGAAGATCGACTTCCTCGTCGATGCATACTTAAGTCTAGACCACTGCCAAGGAAACAACTCCAGAAAAAGTTCACGGTGATCACACTATGTGAGAAATGCACTGACTTAAATGAGTTAAAAGGCAACCTCTTTGTCTAACACGGATGTGCTACCAGCTTAGACACCTTCTGGCTGTCACCGACAAGGAAATGACCAACAGAGTTAGTTACCCTTGCTGCTCTAGGTGTCACCCAGCTTACAAAAGTGTGATATGCCCCTACCCGCAAGGACATAGAGAGAAAAGCCAAAGGCTCCAACCCTTTTGAGCAAAGAAACCAAACCCAGTAAGGTTTAGATAGACTATTGTAAATAGGTAGTTAGAGTTGTTTACATGGTCACGCCCTTTTAACGGAATAAGGAACATCAACAGAGAATGTGACTAGTCGACAGTAGCTACCCCATGACTAAAGATTTCATCATGCACATGAAGTGCTGAAGCTAGTCTGCTTATACCGGCCCAAATTCAAAGATCGATAGATGAACAATATCAAAGTCATAGACAATGATATCTCAGAGACTTAATTATTAGTGAATAAATCTTATATTAGAACACAAAAGTATTCCAAGTAAGTTATCATCCGATAAACTAGTATTATAGTATAGGAACCACCAAGATCACTATAGTTGGAAACATAAGAATCACTATCCAACAAAATTCAATAGCAAGGATATTCAAGGAAACTCAATGATAAAATTTAACTATCAAAAATTGCAGAATCTACCATCCTGAAGAATGGCAAATCATTTTTACCAATAATAATTAAGTAGAACTTTTGATAAGGATAATCAACTACCGTAGATAATAGTCAATCATTACCAATAATTGCTAGATGTAAATACTAACTTCAACATCAAAGCTAACAAGCCAAAATGGCTTCCCCAACAACTTCTAACAATCATTATTTGAATAGGGAGACATGTCTAGATTTCATGCTGTTCATCCAATTTTTATTGAATCAATCTCTCTTACACTAGACAACATGGCATTAGAGGGTGTTTGACATCCAGGATGATGAGGAGACAAAGGTAGTGTATAATGCATAGGCATGAGCAGCAGCGTACTATGTGGAGCACTCAGTTCATGATAACCAAGTGGATAAGAGCACCTCCTATAGGAGATGCCACAGCCTCCTCCTCTTAATCCTCCTCCTCCCCCTCCCCTTCTTCGAATTGTTCCCCCATACCGCTTTTTATCAATCTGGAAAAGAGAAATCAAATATTACCTCCTAGACCTTGAACAAGCCGAGCAGGACAAATGGGCTGCGCTCAATGATAAAGCCCTGGGCTTCTAGGAGGGCATGGGCCACCCTCACAGCAATCCACGAGCAGCAGAAACCAGCTAATCGCACACAGCTTCACAGGAAGCTTTACTCCATGCCGATGTCTGAGGCTGATGACCAGTTGCTTCAATCAACAGCACTTGGCGAGAAGTGATAACTCTGCCTTGCACCGTAAGACGATGGAGAAGATCCAAGACTTCTTCCTACAACACCACCTGAAAGACAGGCAAGAAGAAAACATCACGATCTAATGGGAGTCCTTCTAGCTCGACCACGAAGTTCGACCCATGCCCGCACTGCTCACAGGGAGCCCAAGTGTCCAATGACGAACGCTAATTCATCAACCGATGCAACTAATTTTGTTACTGTACATTCTCTTTACATTGCTTCTCAGTATGGTACCTCAACCAGTGATTTGTAGCTGCCTGCCATCCCTACTGCAATGGTAGCTGGTGGATTGACTTCTTGGAGCGTTTTGAATTGAGCGGTTTTAGTACCACTATCCATGATGTGTACCTTGTTCCAAAGAAAGTGTGAACTTGCTCTCTATTGCCCTGGACCAGCTCGAGTTGTGGCATCAGCATATTGGACATGCCGCATTGCTCATCTTGCCAAAGATAGTCTTGCCAAAGGCCTCCAAGTTACACGTCAGAAACTTGTATATAGATTATCAGTTTAGGGTTTAGGGTAAACCGGTTTCAAAGTGCTTTCATTTTAGGACATTGTTAAGGAACCTTTCCCTGTTGCTCTGCCTGTAATGGTCGTGCATGAGAAACCCCTGATGTGCCACTTTCCACCGCACCAAGAACAGAGAAGAGTGCTCCAATAGATAGAAACCATCTCCAAACGGCTGACATGGCCAATCATGTTGCCTTGTTGAGAGAAATCCTGATACATAGTGAAAGGATGGAGAAGAGAGATGGAATCGGCCATAGCTGAGCAAGGAAGGAGAAGAAGAGAGAGAGGTGTAGGAAAATAAGAAAACATAACCCTACCTTTAGTTCCTGCTCTTGTTTATATGGTCTCGTCTTGCTCCTCGTTTTGGAAATTGCAACTGAGCTAACAACCATCACACTTGAATGTTTGAATCTTTTGGTGATGACAAGTCCTGCATAAGTGAAAAAGTAAGAACAAGGTTTCCAGCTAAACATGAAAGAACATACCACTGAAAGATCAAAGATCAGTGCATCTGCAGCACCAAGATGCCATCATAGTCTTCGAGCCGTTTAAGCTCGATAGTGCCTGGAAAGGATAAATTGGAAGATAATTTAGTACGAGAAAGACAAGAAAAAAACCGGAGAGAGAAGCACAAACATGTAAGCTAGAAGCCATTGCTTATTACAAAGAATGCTGATGTGATGCATTCACGTTTGTGTCTCGTGTTTGCCTCTCAATTCCTCTTTTGTCTGATTCTGTGAGGAATTTAGACAGTAAAATACATGAAGAAGGAGTGGACGCTCAAACCACCAAACGTGCAGATTGACAGGCTGGAAAATTGCCTAACTTGCGTCAAATAGTCTCAAGCTGCTTAAAATGCTCATTCAAAACATGCTCAATCTGCAAGATTGTTGATGTAAGAAGACGGTCTAGAAGCTCACATTGAACACTGACTCGGAGCTTGAGGCACAGCTGTGCATAAATCTAATCCTCATCAAGGGGAAACGAAGTGAGAAAAGACAAAATCATGATATCACTAGTATTGTCCAGAAAATGTAAAACTTCTGAATATATATAAAATATTAATGCTAGACAAATCCTGGACGAGTACAAATCAATAATGTCATTCAATTTTTTTCTCTTTAAATAAAATATATATATATATATATATATATATATATTATAGAACATAGAACTTTCAGGAATATGAATATATTTAGAACACTTATATTTTAAGAGAAAAAAATACAAAATGAATTGCTAAGACTAAATATTTTTTAAAGATATTAGATGCAAAGTATAAGCCAAGAATATTATCAAATTTCTAACATTAAGAATTCAAGCACACTAATATATCAGATAATAAAATAGTAAAAGAACAAGTGCTAAAAATATATTTAATAATTAGATGTTAATGCATAAGAAAATTTAGAATACTAAGATCTTAAGAACACTAATATATTATTACCCAGACTCAAACAAAATCAAAGAAGTATTATTAAGAATAGTTTTTATTAATATAGAGAACAAGATTTAAGAACATTAATATTACTCAAAGCCAGACAAAGTCTAAAAGTAAAGAATATTAACTTTGTGAGGTCTATTCTTTAGTGTTACAAACAAATGCATGGAGCAAGGATTAAACTCAAATGCTTTGATTACTTTTTGCCACATCATGGAGCACATGCATTCCTCACACTTTCTTCACTCCACAACATAGTCACAGTTAACAGTGTGGCAGCACTTTCTTCTCTCACCCCAGGCAATTGGCCACCACCCATTGGCTGAAAGTAAATATCAGCACGATTATTCGTTAAAATGTGGTTTATTCGCTAAGACGTGGTTAAAGAAATAACCCTTCTACAATACATTATCCAAATCGTTTTCCCAGAGAGTGGTGCCCTAAACTCAAGCCATACAGATCAACGGTGCAGATCTAGCGGCGGCGGATTGAGGGTATGGCGGATGATGAAGAAATGGAAGAGCTTGTAGAGTTCATTGAAGACATAGATGGGGCAGAGGGTCATGAATTTGACCTTCCTGATGGTAGAGTGGACGTATATGCGGTTCTGCGGGTGTTCTCGGCTACCTCCATCTCCGTGAAGCACGAGGAGCAACCAAGGGTATGGAGGACTCTTGAACCAAGAAAAGGAGATGGTCTCAGCACAGTGAAATTTCGGGCTGGATCTTCTCATGTCATTCGTCCCACGAGAGGTGTGCTACGTTCTTTTTAGGATGGCTTCGGTTTCTACTTCTTGCCCCAATTTTCTTTTTAGTGCTTGATGTGCGTGATGTTCTTATAGTCGCTTTTCGTGCTTAGCTCTTTCTGGATAGGGCGGGTTCTTGACTATGACCACTCAGTGATTGGGTATGCGTTCTTTCTTTGGTCTTCTCGAGGGATTTGGCTGTGGTGGTGACTGCGTCCTGTGCGTCTCTTTGCCTGGTGACCTGGCCATGGGGTAGTGGCGTTGTAACTGGTGGGAGCTATGGCTCCTAGTTTGATCTTGGTTGAGGGTTTTGTTTTGTTGGTATTCACATGTTATGACAATTCCCTTGTTTCTGTTACAGCCCTACCTGTGACATCTCTCAAGGCAAGGTCAGGTAAGCAGTTGCTTTTGTAGCTGTATCAACTCTGTTATGCTTTTTGTTGCCTTGCTGACGACCTGAGCAAATCAGATGCCGAAATCTGTGGGGCGCTGAATCACCTATTCCTTGACGATCTGCGGGACAATAGACAACGAATGGGCATGCCACCAAGGCGTCAGGCGGGGGCGGGGTTGCCTCCAGTACTAGGAGATATAGGCCTCTACTTCACGTTGAAGGGGCGGACCGAGACGCTCAAGCATCTCATCTTGTCGGCTGGGCGGATTTTCGCGACTTTCATGAACACGCAAGACCCGCTTGACAGCTTATTGCGGCAAAATTTCATTATGATGATCGTGGGGTACCCAGGTGTGGGAAAGACAACGGTGGGTAGCTGCCTGTCGGAGCTGCTACTAGAGTACTGGATGGCGAACAAGGACAATCCCGAGTTCAATAAGGAGCTGGGGGAAAGCCTCACCGACGATCTCCTCGACGCTTTTAAGGAGATGATATCAAACGTTGTACAGAGTGAAAAAGAAGTCTGCATGTATCACTCTCTGGAGACGGCACTGGATGGGCAGCTTATGCAGCGTGAGGATGGTCTTCACTACGAGCAGATTATGGCTTTACGGTGCCTTCATGCGGCTGTTAGTCGGGTGGATACACCAGAATATGATGCATGCCTCCAGAAACTAGACGAGGGAGCTCCAGGTCTGAAGCATCAGTTGAGACTCGACGATGTTATAGCTTTCATCAGGCAGGGTTTGGGCTTTCCTACAGGCCAAAGGATCTTTCTTTCATGGTACTTCGACGAGGCAAACAGGGCTTCGGACGTTGGGGAGGGGACGTGGTTACAGTACATGTTTTCTGCATACGTCTCCTGGTTTACGTTCAAGCGTGCCTCGGACACGCTTGTGCTGTTTACGGCAGCGACCACACGGTATTCTGCAGCATCGCTCTCCAGGAGGGCGCAAACGCTTTACATTCCGCTCCCGCCCTTGACTAATGACGACGTCTATGACATCGTTCAGGAATTCTTCGACCGGGTGGCGAGCTCAGTTCGCCAAGGGGCGCGCATCGAACTGAGCAACGAGTGGAAGAAGGTCCTCCGCTTTGCTGGAGGCAATCCGAGGATTGTCTCATTCCTTTTGAAGGGGCTGGTGTCACGAAGTTTTGGCGCGATCCCACTGGAGAAGTTCAATATGGAGCTGCAGAAGGGATTAGTTGTGACAAGAGCCAGGGCGTTGGTTGAGAACGCATCAAATCTGTTTGTCAACTCAGAGATTGACTTTCAAGGCAATTCCAGGTGCTAAAGCTAGTCTGATGCTGAAGGCCATCTACATTTCCCAACTTGGAACTATCGTCAGACGTGCAGACAAGGTATGGGACGGGCGCTTTGAAGATACTTGGGGTGATTTAGAAGGTCAAGGTATTGTGGGTTTGGTAGAGATAGAGCGAGGGCCTCCCACACGTCCCCCACGGAAAGCATGCAAGGTGTTTTCGGGTGTCGCTCCAAATGCGCGTGTCAGGTACTCTCCCATTGCAGCTTACTCTTTGGCACTGGCCGACTCCATCCCAAAAGGATTATGGCCCGATTTGACAAACGATTCCTGGGCTGTAAAGGAGGACTCAGACGTCCTTGGGTTAACATTCATGCTTTGGCTGAAAACACACTTGGATGGCGGTAAGCTTGATGCTCTTGCATGTTCAGACACTCTCCTCTTTTCCTTTTGCAGGTCAAGAATTCAAGCTCAGGGACATCATACCTTCCCACTCAAGCTTAAGTGACTACCTGGATGGTTTAAATCTTCAATTGCCTTTGCCACCTGGTAAGTTTTGTGGGTATTTGATCTTTAGCTTTAACTCTGTTACATGCAGAGGAACTAGATTGGACAATCTGTCAGCCAGAGGTGCTACCAACATCAAGAGCAGAGTTAGAGCTTATGGCTGGGGATCCTAAAGCTTTTATATTCTCTCTCAAGAAGAATATGTATGTGGACGCTATCATAAGGGTACAAAAGATATGCAGAAGCAAGGCACCACAGGATTGTTTTATCTTGATTGAGAGCAAGTACAGTTGGAATGATCAGAACACTCTTGGTAACATGATGGAGAAAGTATGCCATAACATCCAAGATTGGGGGCTTAAAATGGAGGAGGTGATTCATATATATTGGTCGGATGAAAAAACTACCACTGCATGGAATGCACAAGTTGAAGGATGGACTCCACAAAATCTTATACTTGGTAGCTTTTCTAGCGAGAGTCCATTTGAATTGCTTACTTGTATTTAACATTATATTAACTTCATATTGTACATCCTTCCCATTCCTATCTGGTTGTGTATGCAAGTTTAGTGTTGATATTGGTGGCATAGTAGTATCAACAGCAACATTTAATGAAGTTTTTAGCTTGAAACTTGCTTTGTTCAAACTTTCAATCTCTTCTTTCAAAAGATTGCAACTTCACTCAACTGGCCACTCCTCTGGCACAAAATTTAGCTTCAAAATAATTGAGTTGTGAATCTGGCTTATATGAGTAACATTAGTCCTATAACAGTAAATCCAGCTTGATTGGTGGCTCTTCACCTTTAGATCTCAACAGCCCCAGAAACATGGCACTGCTGAAGAACTTGAACCTGAGCGCACAAATGCGAGACACTGACCTCGACTCCCAATCATTCTGGAGCAACGTGCATTGATCTTGGCACTGACTTTTCAAATTGCCCAGTTGATACGAGAAATTGGCTCACGAGCAATATCGTTCTCAACCTTTGGCACTGGACTCACTTGTGTAACAACTGGCACCTCCTCTACTCCATGTTCCTTAGTTCTTTTCTAATGTCGAGAAACAAAATGGTAGTCAAATTCTGTGTAGCACACTTTATTTCTCTCCCCTTAAGTCAATTGGAAAAGGGGCAATTGCTTGATGAGAGAGCCCTTAGTGGTTATTTTATCCCCATTTATCCCTAACGTTCCAAGGATCCACAGTGACAGTATATCTAAATCTCATCCCATAATCACATGTGCTACACTCTGGACAGTGAAAGTTAGAAGGAGTGATGTTTGGCCCATCAAATGTCTATCGATACTTCATATGGGCTGTCCTTATGTCCTCAAGTGGTTCATAACTTGATTTTATAGGAGTTCCAGCAACAACTTCCTCCACCATCTTAGACATTAACCCTGCTGCTGGTATTGTCTTTCTACCAACCCACTCTCAAAGCTTGTCTAAGTTCGGACCTGTACCAGCAAACTTTGCTTTTTGTGCAGCCAAAGCTTTTGATGATTGATCAAGAGATTTAGTGAGGTCGAAGAATGTAGCTTTATAGAGGGACATTTTTCCTTTCCCTGCTTCAGAAGCTTTCCAACTCTAATGTTTGCTTTCAGAGAGATTAATTATTGGTGTAAATGTTATGTCATCGAGTGGTTGATCTTAGGAAAAATGCAACATTTGAATGTAACAAGAAAAAAAAATGAGAGAAAGTTTACATGAAGAGTATAATGACCCCACTAAAACATTCAAACTTCCCACCATGCAAGCTAACATTTCATTTGTGGAAGGCATTCAATTGGCACTTTATCTCCTTTATGTCATTATATATGCATCTTATTTGCTTTTTCCTTGCGCTCCTTTTTAGTTGGTGCATCCATCCATTCCTGACAAAATTGTTTAAACTTGTAATAGAAGTTAAATTTAATGCATCGGCAATGTTCGTTAACATTTTTTGCTCAATGAAATTCACAACTCTTCTCTCTACCTTGTAATGGCTAACTTTTATCACCTCTAAACACTTGTAAGGAACATGGCCAGTGGCCGCTACTACAGGCAAACCAAGTCCCTGGGGCGAGCTTCTCGCTTTCATTCCTTACTGGAGCTTGACAGACGACATAACAGCTTTCAGGACAGGGTGACAAGAAGTGGTGAGATGTCACAGGCTTTCGAGCAACTCATTACGAACTTGGTGATTGATTTGAGCTCTCCGTTTGCTGGAGCTCCCTGCTGGCTAAAGACGACATGCAGAGCAGGATATTGGTTGTCGAGGCCGGTGCCGTGAGGCCGCTGATCGCGTTATTAGACGATGGTGACGAGCAAACCCAGGAAATCGCCGTGACAGCTCTCTTGAACCTCTCCATCAACGACAACAACAAGGCGGAGATCTCCCGGGCGGGTGCCATCGATCCACTGGTGAGGGTGTTGAAAGCGGGAAGCAGCGCAGCAGTGGAGAACGCTGCCGCTACGCTCTTCAACCTTTCCGTGGTGGACAACAACAAGGAAGTGATCGGTGCTGCGGGTGCGATATCTCCTCTGGTGGAACTGCTGGCAAGCGGCAGCCCCGGTGGCAAGAAGGACGCAGCAACGGCGCTCTTCAACCTCTCAACCTCTCACGACAACAAGCCGAGGATGGTCAGAGCTGGAGCTATCAGGCCGCTGGTGGAGCTGGCCTCGCAAGCTGCGACGGGCATGGTGGACAAAGCGGTTGCCATACTGGCGAATCTGTCAACTGTGCCAGAAGGGAGAGTGTCCATCGCCGAGGAAGGAGGCATCATCGCGCTGGTCCAGGTGGTGGAGACGGGCTCCCCGCGAGGACAAGAGAATGCCGCGGCTGCTCTGCTCCATCTCTGCATCAACAGTAGCAAGCACCGAGCAATGGTGTTGCAGGAAGGCGCGGTGCCACCGTTGCATGCGTTATCTCTCGCGGGCACACCACGAGGCAAAGATAAGGTACTTCATCTTTCTTTCTACGCTCACAGAGGGATTTTTTGATACGGAAATGTGTCTAGGCACTGGCGCTACTTCGTCACTTTCGAGAGCAACGAGTTGGAAAGCAACATGAGTACTGATGTTCGCTTTGTGCCGCCATAGAAGTGAGCTTTGAATCACAACAAGTGCCCGACTTTGCTATGGTATTCTGATCGTTTACGCTGGAGAAGCCAGAGGTCAGCTTGAGCTACTGTTTTGTCAACGAAGCTTTTGGGATTTAAACCAGGTAGTAACATCGTCAAAGAAGGAGATACGGTTGTTATAGCATCAAGTGATGTCACAGATCTTCTTCTTGCCGCTGCCTAAAGCTGAGAACCCGGTTCCAGGCGAGCTTCCATGGCTCGTTGCCAGTCTGTCTTGCATGGATGAGGAAGCCAAGGCCAACGATCACCAGAATGGATGCAATCACCGTCCTGCGAAGCGATTTCCATCTGCACAGCTTGCCCGCCGTGTGTGGGCAGTCGACGTAAAGCCTCAATACCTGCGAGAGGCGAGTGAAAGAAAGCGAGTGTGTTTATCTTTGAAAACTCGAGCTATACTGTACCTTCATTCCGTAAGCTTTTGCGGAGGCCACGGCCAGCGCCAAGTCGTTGTCGCTGGACAAAAGTATCAAGTCGCCCTCATCGTCTTTGTACTGCCCATGTCAACCTGGATATATCAAATCAATGGACTCGACGCTATCACCGGATTTACCAAGAGTTGGAGGTTCTCGTCCTCGCAGCCAATCCGGACCGAAACTGTTGCAAGGACTTCTTCAAGGCTTTGTGTCCCTGCGTGACACAGGTTATGATAGTGACGATGATGACGCGGATAGACCAAGGTACCGCAAGTGAAGCGATGGACACAGCCTTTCGGGTCTTCTACCTTGAAGGAGAAGAAATTTGCTAGCCACAGGGACGGGTAGACAGTTTTCACGGCAATCAACTCGGATGTCAAGTTTGCAGAGTCGCTGCAACCATATAACGATTATATACAGAGAAGATCGAGGTTTTTGTTACCTGCATGCTGTGGTAACGGAGTTTGATGCATCCAGTTTCACAATTTCTTCCTCAACCTGGAGCGTTACACAATAATCAACTCTGCCCCTTGGGAGCTTCTGGCTTACGCTGGCAAGGCCGCATTCCACGAGAGCCATGACGCTCACGCATCCAACCACGTTCCTATCTGCAAAAAGTGCGAATGGTATTCGAAATCACACAAGCCGGCCCCGTATGCTTACCTTGGTCCAGAATGGGTAAGTGGCAAAAGCGGCCATCGTGCATGATATGCAGGGCATCCACGACTGCCGTGTCTAACGAGGCACACTCCACATTCCGTGTCATCACCTGACCACACACGATTGTTTAGTTTCAATGACACAGATTCAAGCAAAACCTTTTCAATGGCTGTGGAGGTTGGGCAAAGGCCTTTAGCAACAACTCGCATTAGCAGGTCCTTCGACCTGCAAGTTTCTCAGCTTTGTTGGAAGATAATAGATTAATGGCTTACGTGAAAATGCCCACTGGATTCCTGCCAGAAGCTACAATAACATAGTCGCTGCTGAACTCTAGCATCTTCTTTGTGGCCGTATCCACCGTTTCATTCGGACAGATTGTGACTGCACTGCAGTTAAGGTTCAATGTGAGCTGTAAGCAACCTTCACTTACTTGAAAGATTGCATTATCAAAGATCCTAACGTCGGTTGAAATGTTTGATCCCGGAGAGCTTCAATGGACGCTGCGGAGACTGCATTTTAAAGCCAGTTATAGCAGCAGCATCGAAAACGAAAAAAAAAGAAGAAGAAGCACGTACTCTTTTCCGGATGCATAGCAGCAAATGACGCTGCCATATGCCACTCCAGCGTAACAATTGCATCGTACAAACATTTCTTCATGTTCACGAGAGCAATAACTTGTCCATTGTCAACAACAGGCAGGTGCCTAAATTTCCCTGTTGACAGAAAAAAGTCAGCATAAAGATGATAAAGCCCAAAGCCCAAAGCTAGCTATAGCTAGTGCAATGTAAGTTTCTTCTCCCTCGCGTTTATTTGAGGTGGTGAAAAAGGAAGAAACTTGGCTAAACCTCGAATCATCTTCCGGAGGGCATGATCGGCTAGCGCATCACTGGGAATATAGACTGGGTTCCTGGTCATAACTGAGGAGACACAGGTTTCTTCGGGCTTAAGACCCTTGGCAATCACTCTAGCCACCACATCCTGCACATAGCACCGCAAGCAAAGCCTCTTTCTCAAGCTCTAGACAAGACCACCTTCCTTTAAACTTTAGCTCTTCATGTCCTATCTAGCATCGCATGGGCGAAAGAAGGAGTGAGTACCTTGTCTGTGAAAATCCCACATAGCACAGAGTCGGAATCCGTGAGCAAGACAGCGTCAATCCGAGCGGCCGCCATGCGCCGGCACGCATCCGCGACCGAGGAGCTGTCGCGGATGATCAGAGCCTTGGCGGGCCTCAGCTTGGCCACACTGCGCCTTCCTAGCCCCGACCTGTGAGAAACGAGAGTGAGTTATCCCGAATCGATCGCGATCGCGAGCTCACAGATTGCGCCCGATGCTGCCGGTGCTGCCACGATCCGGCGCCATCCTGCTGCTCATCGCGGCTGCCGCATTGCGCACTGGATCCGCCACAATGCCGCTCATCCTCCTCCTCCTCCCTCGACCTAAAAGTTTTATTCCCAGCTTTGAATGGATCGGGCGGTATATAGGTCCAGGGATTGGACGGCTGCGATCTCGCCAGCGCCATATCCTCTTTGAATCACAGAACCGTCTCTCTTTGGAAGAGAAGGAAGACGATCATGTCTAGCAAGAAGAAAATCTTGCTGCTGGTCCAGCAAAACCAGAATCAAAGCAGCCGAACGTACCTGGAATTCGATTCCATCCCACTGTGCATGGAAGGTATTAGAAGAGCACGAAAAACCAAAAACAATGATCGATTCCAATCCAAAAGTTCTCGCTCTTTTCTCTCAAAGGTGTATGCGCAATGTACGAAAAGAAGCTCAAGGATCTCAATCCCGAGCTCACCAGCATCTGCTACGACATTGGCGATCTCTACGACTTCATCGATGGCTTGAAAGATATCAGCGCTCTTGTGTAACTTTGCTCGCCTTCCTCCTGGATTTGGTTTGAGTAGAACTTGTGCTCTCCCTGTGCTGCGCAGGTATGATCCCAACGTTCACGGCTTCTTGCCATACGATCGGCAGTGGATCAAGCACCGCTCCTTCCAGCACTTGAGAAAACTCGCAGCTCCAGTGCAGAAGGATATCAAATAGATGGAACTAATAGGTCCATCTACGCCTGTTTGCCATACCTCTCTTGTGAACTTGTACAGAGTGTCTCAGCTATCAGGGATCTTAACCGGCCGCCACTGGCTGAGCCTAGAGTGATCCACGATACGCATGTTCTTCTTGCTTATCAAGATCATATCTTGGAACTCAGCATCCCAGATTACGTGATCGTCGTCCATGGAGTAGTGTTGTGCGTGAAACACTGATTGCATGGAGCTTCGCTCCAGTCCCACCTGCAAATTTTAGCGAGGCAAGCGATTAGAAACGAGAAACAAATGACTTCGTAAATTACTCTACCACGCTCAGCGTGAAGATTCCATCTTCTTTTTTGAGCATCTCCGGAGTTCGCTTGTTGAGAGGGCTCGACTCGTCGATTATGTGGCGGACCAGCATGCCGTGGTTGAGGTACGAAACCTCGGAACGAATCTGTGGTAAGTGCTTTAACCCAAAGACTCATTTGGCTAGCTAGAAAACAACTGAACATACCAGCTTCAAGGACTGCTGAGCTCGAAAGTAAGTTCCTGCTCCGGTGATGGTGTTGTACTTGTAGCTCAAATCAACTTTGACATCGACGAGCTCACAAGGCTGAGGTCCAGCCAGAACGTAACGAGTCATAAACACTCTGCTCACAGTCAAGGAAGCGTGAGTCGAGAGAAAAAGTTGCCTTCAAGCTTACCTGACAGAACGACCGTTTCTTTTTGCAGTCGATGGGCTCACCAATGCCACAGAGGAACACCGGATCGGCTGTGACGGCTGGGACAATCTCGCGAACACTGCCGAGATTCACAAAACAAGTTTCAGGGACCAAATCTTGCAAAAGAGAGAAAAGCACCTGCACCGCTGAGAAACACAAACAGGAGCTGCGCAACCAGAGCATTTATGTTGGCTACGACGAGCGTGTAAGGAGTGAGTGGTGTCAACTCTGGTTGGAGTCCCGTAGACAAGGAGATGCTAAACATGAGCACCCGAAACACAGCCTCCCAGTCCAGTTCCAGGCCGTGCTCAAAAAACTTCGATGACGAAGAATACTGAACCACGTTGCTTGCAAAATCCAGGCCCTGAAGCTGAGGCAGATAGAGCAGCGTGAAGAACATACTTACGGCCACTGGCGCAGCAAACATGCCTAGTACAAAATCCAGCCCCGGCTTCTTGAGAATGTAGAGATATAAGTCGTAAATTACGGTCATTACCCCATGGTCGTCCTGTAGCACAGTGAAGTTCTCAAGGCCTCGAATACCCCGAAACTCAGGCAGATCAGACGTGGTGTAGGCCTCAAACTCGTCATCGCTTTCCAGGCTTTCCTCGCCATCGCTGGAGAGTAAGTTGGCAACCTGTTCAGTCACCTTGGCAACCTGTTCGACCATCGAGAGTGCTGCGACTTGCTCCACCAGCACTTCCGCGGCCTGTGTCACCTGCTCCGGGATCACTTCGTCGACAACTCTGTGCACTGCTTCGGCCATTTGCGTCTGGATCTCTGCTACTTGCTCCACAATTTTTTCAGAAACCGATGAATCTTCCACCTCTTGAACAGCAGAGGTGTTCTCGTCCACTGCGGCCACACTCGAGCTCACTTGCTCATTCTCGTCGTCATTCGCCTGATGATGCTCCTGAGAAACTGATTCGAAGAGCTCGGGGTCCGAGACAATTGTCACAGCCACGGGTGCTATCACGTCCTCAACAGGCGAATCAAACCCCTGACTCCCTTCTCCTTCTTCTGCCTTGGATGCCCGTTTGTTGCGACTGGACGTTTTCCTTGTCACTCTCGAGTTTCCATTTCCTTCGTTGGAAACGCATGCACTTTGCTGCTGTAAAATAGAACATAAAGTAAAAACCTGGCGAAAGAGAACGAGTGAGTCTTACTTACCAACGCTTCATCTTGACTTTCGCTTCCACTCTCACTTCGAGGTGATCTCCTCCGCCTTCCTTTCCGCGATCTGTGACCATGAACTCCACCGCTGCTTCTCCCAATGCTTGCAATCGTTGCTACCAGCTTCCTCTGGCTCTGGCTCGTCATTAAATGCAACTCCTGTGGAACCCAGGCCTTGGATGGCGCAGTGAAAACCACGCCAAACACCGCCATTCCACCGAGGGCTGCTCCTGTCAAAAATTAGCAGTAACTACATGATGCTCGCAAGGAAGAAGAGAAAGCCACAGTACCTTGAGAGGCGGAGGAGCCGGCGATGAGGAGCTGTTGCTTCGCCTTCGGCCGCCATACCTGTGAGAGAAGAGAGACAACCGGTACGTGGCAGTCACCTTTGGCGGACGCATATGTCACGTGGAAACATATCCTTGCTCTGCTGCGCTTATTCAATCAATCAATCATTCTCGTCTTCGTCAGAAAAGAAAAAACTAAGCTAACTCAAATACTCTTCTAAACAGTAGAAAGAAAAACAAAAAAACCAAGAAACAAAAAATGAAAACGAATTCATTGCCTACACAAATTTACAGACAACACTCGTCCTCCTCGTCCAATATACACACTATGTACGTACTTGCATCAGATGCGACGAATTCAGCTCAAATCGTTGTGCCGTTTGGAATAACTGCGTCTTTGATAATCGTCACAATCCCATTCTTAATGAAGTAGCCCTCTGTTTCCCTTGCAGCCTCCAACACGTTATCCTTGTTGATGATCTGAAAAAAGAAAAAGCAGTCCAGCCCAAGAAGAAAGTAAGGTCATGTGTGTCAACAGCTTTCTTTACCGTCCATACCCTCACATTCCGACCAATTCGAACGTTCTTATCGATAATAGCCTTTCGGACGACAGAGTATTTGCCAATGCCAATGGGCACACCTCCATGGGAATGGAGATGTTCTCGGTGCTCCTCTTGCTGGAAAAACCGGGCAAAATTCCTAACGGCAAGCACTCAAAAGCTTGAAACACACCTCGTAAAAATCCGATCCCATAAGAAGAGAATCCTCAATGACCGCACCCTCTGCAATTCGGGACCTCAGGCCGACCACGGAGTGGTAGATTTTGCAATTCTGGCGTAGAGAAGCAGTTGTTAGAAGTTATTCAAGCACGCTCTAGATAATTTTTTACTTGCCTGAATGACACAGCCTTCTCCAATGATGCTCTGCACGATGTCCGCATCGTGCATTATCGAGGGTGGTAGGCACCTCGGGAGCGTATATATTGGTGAATGCTTGTCATCAAAACTGAGAATCAAAATTCCACGAATGTCCCGTCAAGTATTGATAAGAAAAACCTTGAAAACTTGTGCACCTAAATTCAGGAGGGCTCTTAGTCAATCCTATGTTGGCATTGTAAAAAGCCTCGATTGTGCCAATATCCTCCCAGTATCCATCAAACAGGTAGGCTTGTACCTAGAAAGTAGAACAAAAGATTAAAAAATCACAAAGGCTTGAGAGAGACACAAAAGAAGAAAAAAAACTTACCTTCATGCCAAGCTGAGTCGCTCCAGGAATAATCTCGCTGCCAAAATCGTTTGCATTTGGAAACTTTTCATGCAGCAACTTGTACATTGCTTCCTTACTGATAACGTATATACCCATGCTGGCAATATATGGCAACGCTTCAGCTCTCTTAGGATCTAGACCGAGGATAGTTGTGTCCACCTGTAAGAATGTCCGAAGGCGACGTTGAGGATTCAACTCAAATAAGATGCACGCACCTTCATGCCCTGAAGTATCCCACCCTTTGGCTTCTCAGCAAACTCGGTAATTTTCCCTTCTGAATCGATCTTCATGAGACCGAAGTTCGTGGCTCTTTTTTCCTCCACTGGAACAGCGGCAACAGTGATGTCTGCCTTGGTTTGACGGTGGCTCCGAATGAACCTTTGATAGTCCATGCGGTACAAGTGGTCTCCTGCTAGGATCAAAAATTCCATGACGTCCTGGTCCTCAAAAATCCATAGGTATTGCCGGACAGCATCGGCTGTACCCTGCAGCAGCAGCAGCAGCAGCAGCAGGATGACAAGTCAAACCACGAACGAAGAAAGAATCCTATTTTTACCTTTAGTTAAGAAGAAAAGTCGTGTGTGGCTGTGCCAAGGAATGGACTTACACGAAACCAGTCAGGATTATCTAAGCTCTGCTCGGCCGCAAGCACTTCCACAAAACCATCGTTTCTAAAGCCTCCCATGTTCCCAGCGTAGGCCCTGTACAGGTGACTGTTGAGAGACGTTGAGTTGTACTGCGTGAGGACGTAAATCCGGGGAATGTTGCTGTTGATACAGTTGCTCACGGGAATGTCGATGAGCCTGTAGTTGGCGCCCAGGGGCACAGCTGGTTTCGCGCGCTCTCTGGTCAAGGGATGCAATCTGGTTCCGGCACCACCACCCAGGATGACGGCAAGAACACTCTGCATGCACGAATCGATCGACCAAAATGGTGAGAAACCAAAAGAAGAACTAGTAAAGTCTGGACGTACCGAGCGCGCATCAGGCTCAAGGTAAGGAGAAGACTCGTCCCTGGCTGCCCTTGTCAATCTCATCCGCTTCTTCCAGCAACTCCATTTACTACCGCATTCAAAACCATCAAAGTTCTTCTGACAACACATTGGCCGAAAAAACTCTTGCTGCCTCCCAAACCGTACAAACGGGAGCTTAGAAGACGAGGACGAGGAAGCACTAGCACTGGATGATTGCAATGACGAAGAACAGGAGGCGACAGGGACAATCTGCGTAGTGAATCCTGCCGCCGATAGCATGGCACCAGAGGGGCCCCCTAGTGGAGGACGAAACCACCCGGAGCGCACGAAGAGAAAGAGAACCTGCCGCTACTTTCATCAAACCAACTCACATTCGCGGCTTCCACGAGAGGGCAAAAATTTCGAGCGCGCGGCGCATCCCTATCAAGCCTGCCGCCGCTGCCACGGCGATCGTCCCCCCGGATCCATCTCTAAAACCCTAACACTGTGGCGCCGAGCGCCACATTGCCGCTTCCTCCTCCCTCGCCGCATCACCTTGCCCTCGATCATCCATCCCCTGTCGAGATTCTTGGGAAAATGAAGAGACGCCTCAAAGCCCTAACCCTAGAAACACAGGCAAAAGAGATTTTTCCCACCAAAATCTTCAAATTTAAAAAGTATCCCAGAATAGTTCAAACTATGATTAGCGCAGTCAAAGCTGGCAGAGATACGAAGTGGACGCGTCGTGCTATGTTGACCCCAAACAAGTGTATAGTAGAAGTGGATCGGATGTGTATTCTACTGTTATAAATAAGAGTACAGTGTAAAAGAAAAAAAAAAACAACCAAGTCAGTTGGAGAAAATGAAACAATGTGATGTAACGCTGGGTACGATACGAAAGCCACTATACACACACACAAGAGAGGTCAGTTTGTATGATATAATGGCCGAGATAGGGAAGTTCCATCAGATTCCTTCCAGTCCCGGACCGCAAGAAAAGGAATTTAAAGAGAGACCGTCCCATTTTTTCTCTTGCCTGATAGCTAGGACAAATAGCAGAGTCCATCCATCCAGCCCAGACCCCAGACTGTGGTCTCTTTTTAATCGCTCAGCGTCACCACCACCACCACACCACGGCGGCCATTACTACCACCGAGCTCGATTGATGGTGTACCAGTCACTGCTATCACTCACTTCAGCTAGTCCCTGGAGTGATCGATCGGGTCGATGATCAATTGCAGCGAAAAGGAGACGCTCTCGCAGCGCTCTCTCGCTCGCTCGTCACTCATGGACATCACAGCGGAGATTATTAGCTGGTCGTATGTATTTACTTCAAACGCAGAGCTCAGCAAGCAGAGAAACAAAGCGAAACAATGTAGGTACCTCTTAAGTTTTGGCTGATCCATCGCCGGATGACGAGACTCTCTTCACTTCAATGGGTGTTGCCGCCGATCTGCTGCTGCTGCTGCTGGCTGCCCGTCGAATCCTCTCTATATATATGTACCGTAGTCGCAAAGTGGCCAAAGTGACACCGAGAGAGTGTCGTCAAGTCCCAATGCAGAGTGTCTCGATCGAGAGAGCTCACTCTCGCTCGGCCTGGCCTCGTTGCTCGGTGTTGCCTCCATCGTCTTCCAAAAAATCTCTGAGCTAGCTCTACAGCTACGTATCCTGGAAATCCTCTCGAGTCAATCAAAATGCACGCACAGCTCCATGTCCTGTTCCTTGTCCTGTCCTGCTGTCCCAAATGTCCTGTCCACCAAAGTCATTCTTCTGCTGCCCCTTTCCTTTTCCTTCCTAGTTGGCTATACAAGCTGTCGTCCGTGCTCGAATTCCTTGGTTCCTAGTTTTAGATTTGCTGCCCTGCGCTGCTGGATCCATCTCTCCAAAGTACCTGATCCTTAGCAGAACTTGGCCGACTTGAACCGGAGAGGATACATGAAGGAGTTGGCGTACTGGAAGCGGATGATCTCGCCGTGTCTCAGTGGCTTCCCATCGTTCACAAGGCAGTCGTCGTAATTCAGCCGCCGGAAGGCCTTGGGATTGACAAGCGGCGCCGAAGCGAACCAGCCGCAGAAGACGTGGATGTTGGAAGGCGCACAGTCGGACATGCAGGTATTCACGATCTGGACAACGTACTGCGGGATCCCAGACGACGAGCTGTCGCGGCCTTGAGAAATGCTAATGTCTTTGCTGGTGCACGAATCTGGCAATGTCCAAAGGCGAGGAATTAGTTCCGCTAGAATCGAATCGACCACATTGAGGCAAACATTCCCGGCTTCGATCGCGATGAAGATCATTCAAGCAGGCACACAGGCAGAGATAAAGAGTCGCCGAGAAAGAGGGCCCAAGTCGCACGCGACGCAACTAGCATCGATCACACCAAAGAGAATAAATAATCTATAATGCATTGACACACAGCCCGATGATCTATAGTCATGAAGAAGGAATCCAGAGAGAAGAAGAGGCTTACTTCCAGCAAGTAGCTTCCGGGACGTTGCAGCAAGCTTGTGGCTTTCCAATGCGCGAATTCCATCTCCCTCTCCAGAGCTTGCGTCAGATGAACCATAGGACCCTGTCTCCAGCCTGTGATGAATGGCCTCGCCCGAGAGAGCGAAGGCGGGATCTTTCCCGACACTCCGCGATGCGTTTCCTGCCAAGAGAAACGTCCATTAGGATCGCCGAGCACAGATCCGGGGCTACATTGCGCGATTTACCTCCGAAATATCGGCAGCCGATGAGGAGGAGCGCACAAGTGAGCAGTATCGTCGCGGTCATGATGCACGAGATGTGCAAATTTGTATCGCCTGCAAGAACCGGGCATCCATCGATCGATCAAGAAACACGCGAGAAGAGAGAATGGGGAGAAATCGAAGGATATTTCGCCGATCGATGGTGAAATCTCTCACCTTAGGACAGACGCGCGCGTGCGCGCGATGGATGATTGATCGAAGGCGCCAGAAGGAACAAGAAGATTAGCCTACGCGTCGTCGCCGCCGCCGCCGCCGCCTCGCTCGCTCGCTAGCTCCCACTCGCCCGCGCCGCGCCACGCCCTCCCTCGCGCAAAGAACACACAATGCCCCACTCTCGGACTTGGGCCCTTTAATCCGACCGCACGATCGACGGCGGATGTGGTCGTTAACGTATTTCACGTAAAAGAAAAAAAGAATTTGCGGCATTGCACCCACAAGTCATAAACATAAACCCTGACAAAATCTCACACGTTAACCGAGAGGCAAAATTTCGTGTCACGTCCCCTCGTGGTAAAAATGTGACCGCGGATATTCCCCCATCTAACCGTTCTAGAGCCCTTCCTTTCTTGCCCGGCCACTTTCACCGCTGGGGAAGAACGTATAACGGCTGGATGGACGGACGGATGGATGGGTGCCAGGGACGGACGAATGGACGGCCATGGGCGCCCGGTGGTCCGGTTCATGAATCCACATAACGAACCTATGCGGTAGAGGAAAGGAGAAAAAAGAATATGCCAAGTGCCACCAATACAGCTAAGCCATCACAAGCTAATCACAAGCATGCATGCCTGGATTCTCTCCACGGTCGGCCAGCCTTAAAAACTAATGCCTTTAAACATGCGATTATCATTATCCAAGATCCCGATCATGACTTTGCCAAGATTGTGGTCACTGGGTCAGTCAGTGAGTCTTACTTATATCAAACAAAGACTAATGCCATACTATGACAATCCATTATATACACCAAGACAATGCCAAGGAAAACACCACTTGATTGAAAAAAATTACGTTAAAGACACCTAGATCGAAGTTGACGAGGGGGAGAGTTTGGAACTTTGGGCTCGCTGGTCATCCAACTCTTGTTTGATGTCGCGGATGACTCGAGCTAGAATGGGATGGTGCATTCGAGGATTGAGATCCATGTAATACTGGAAGAGCTCGTCCAATTCCTGGCTGCTACTTCCCTCCATCTCCAGCCCCTCGCTCTCAATCATGCTCATCATGGAGCTCTTAAAATCCACGTACGGGTCGGACGAGTGCTTGATTATCACGTCCTCGTTGCTGCTATTGGCCCGCTCCTCCTCTTTCTCCTCCTGTTCTTCCTGTTCTTCCTCCTTGTTCCCCACCACCACCACATCATCCTCCTCCTTCTCCTCTTCGAGCAGGATTTCCTCCTCCACTTCTCCGCCGCTTGCAAGTTCTTCTCCCGGAGAATCAATGCTGCTGCGGAGGCGAGACTTGTTGCTGCTATCCCATCTGCTTTCGACTGGAGATGCGAAAGTCACCCTCGAGCCCCTGCGACCCACTGCATTGGATGCCGATTGCGGCCGCCAGTTGCATTCCGAGAAGGACTCTCCATCCGAGGATTGATTCACCAGCGGCGGGACGTTGGCTGTGGATGGTCTCGGCCGCCTCTCCTGCTGCTCCTGCTGAAACGATACCCGAAGTTCCTCGTCCTCCGAGCACGTCGCAACGCCGCTGCACAGCTCGATCTGCTTGCTTTGTTCCGCGTGCTCCACGATACTGAGCGCTGAGGATGTCACCTGAGATTTCCTCGGGCTGCTGCCACCTCTCAAACGTAGCTTTGGAACCGAGACCTTGGGCTTGGTTGCTTCGTCGGCTGCTCTCGAGGAGAAGAGAACCGGCATCCCAAGAGAATCGAGGGACACGCAGTCCGAATAGGTGCTGCGGTTTGATAGATCCTCCAGCGTCGGACGCTCCACCAGATTGATCCTCCACGACGATCTGCTGGAAGGTGGCCGGTTTGCGCACCTTGACGGTGGCCTGCTCTCCCCCTCGTTGCTGTTGCTCCGGTTGCTTGATAGCTCCTGCTGCGGCGCATTGTTCCTTCTAAAGTCCAGCCATCCCATAGTGATGCTCTTGGGTGTGCTGCTTGCTGACGACGACGGCGATGAAACGGAAGGCGGCCTTCGAGACCTGTGCTGCCGGTGACTGTTCCCAGTAGGAGCTGACGATCCCCGCTGCCTCTCCAGAGCCTCTGCAATGTCCAGCACGGATTTCTTGGCCATCGCAGACGCAGACCTGTTAAACATTCGACCGTAGCAGCTGGTCGAGGAAGGCAGTGCCGCAGCTCCGGACCTGGGCCTCTTGGCGAACGAGCACACTGGATACGAACCGTTTGAGATATCGTAGAGCAGCTTGAACGGCTGAGGCGTGTAGGAGAGCGGAGCCATATGATCATACGCGGGGGACGAGTAAGGCCTCCTGCGGCTCCGGAAGTGAGAGTGCATGTTTCTCGGGCTGGTGTCCAGCTCGGAGGTGTCGATGAGGCAAGCCACAGTGGGAGGACGGCGGACGAAGACTGGATACATGGTCGGGTCGTAGAGATTCTTCCGGCGCTCGTTGAACGACTTTTGCGAGTGGATCCGCTGGCACATTCCCTTGACGTTCTGGAGGTGTGTCTGAGAGACGTAGCCAGTGACCGAGCGGTTGTTCTGAATCTCCTTGAGGACCTTGACGGGGATTTTCTCTCGAAGTGACTTTGGCACCTGTGACAAATTCCTGGCCTGCCTGTTCCACCGTAAGATCTTCTCAAGCGTGGGACCCCTGCGCGGGTCATCCCACACCGAGAACCCAGCGTGCTTCACCAATGCCACCCTCCGGAACGTCTCCTTCACCTCGGCCATGCCATCCTGCCAGATCATGGGCCGCTGCGCTCGGTTTGGTGGTCTCCTGCTTGGCTTCTCCTTCCCAGCCTGCACCATTCTCCTCCTCCACTTTAAAGCCCATGCAGGAGAGGCGGCGCTCGTCCACCGGGCTGGCGGAGCGGAGGTGGCGGGCGGCGTCCACAGGTCTCACAAAAGCAAAGCAAAGTCTCGTCAAGAACAGCGGAAGAAGTTGCAACAGACCAAACCTTTTTTAAAAATTTTATGAAAAAACAAAATGCTGACCCGTCTAAACACCTTAACGTACACATCCTTCCGTACCGGTTTAGCCTCAGTAAGGGCTCACGTAGCGCACGAAATAGCCTGCGCGAACAAGAGAATTCATTGAAAAGAAGCAAACCAAAGGAGAAATTTTGCTCACCCTCGGCACCGTGACGCACGGAGCCCATTGAAATGCACGAGACGAGGCGAGAAGCAGCCCTGGCGCTGTGCTTGGGAAGCATAGTATCCAAAGATTGCTCCGTGGTGCTGCCGCCAAGGAAGAACAATCCCAATCTCACCATAATCACTCAAGCAAAACAAGAAAGCTCTACCTCAGCCGCGCGATAGCCGCATTGGAAGCTCGAAGCGCTGCGCCTGCCCCCAGATTGCTCTGCGTGAAGACGAAGCGTTGCCGGAACAGCGGCGCCGCTCTCTGCGCAGCTCGTATCGACGCCATAGCCATCGCCCAAAGCCCTACCTAGATTGCTCTCAAGAACCCTAAAATATATTTCTCTTTAGGCGAGGATGAAGCGCAGCAGGCTGGGATGGGACGATGGCGACGATCTGGACAGCATCCAGTACGAGGAGGATCGATCGCCGTCGGCGCCAGCAGCGCCAGCAGCGCCAGAGAAGGAAAAAGGAGAGGACGAAGTGGATCCTCTCGACGCATTCATGGAGGGCATTCACGAGGAGGTAAGTAGGATCCCTACACCCGGCAGCAAGCCTTCCAGGATCCAGGAAGAGGAGGAGGAGGAGGATGATCCGATGGAGACATTCCTCAAAGCTCGCCGTGATGCTGGACTCTCTCTGGCTGCCGAGGCGCTTCACGCTGGCTATGATTCCGACGAGGAGGTCTATGCCGCTGCCAGAGCCGTGGAGAAAGGCATGGTGGATTACGACTCGGACGACAATGCCATTATCACTGCGGATCGCAAGAAGATCGACCCGCTCGCGCCTCTGGATCATAGCCAGCTCCAATACGCTCCTTTCGACAAGGATTTTTACGAGGAGGACGCTTCAATCTCAGGTAACGTAGCAGATCTTTTCTTCTGCCTATAACAAAGTTTTCTTGTGTTCCTCTTCCAGGATTGAGCGAAGAGGATGTCACAAGCTATCGACAGTCCATTGGAGTAAGAACATCTGGCTTCGATGTTCCTCGGCCCGTAAAGCAGTTCAAAGAGCTTGGCTTGGACAGCTTACTTATGGGTGCCATCACCAAGCAGGGTTACGAGAACCCAACACCCATTCAATGCCAGGCTCTTCCGATCGTTCTGTCTGGACGTGACATCATCGGCATTGCCAAGACTGGATCAGGCAAGACTGCTGCCTTCGTCCTGCCCATGATCGTGCACATCATGGATCAGGAGGAGCTGGGTAAAGGCGAGGGTCCTATCGGAGTGATATGTGCTCCTACGCGAGAGCTGGCTCAGCAGATCTTCAACGAGTCGAGAAAGTTTGCGAAGCCTTACGGGATCCGGGTGTCAGGCGTCTTTGGCGGAATGTCCAAGCTCGACCAGTTCAAGGAGCTCAAGGCAGGCTGCGAAATAGTTGTGGCAACTCCGGGAAGGCTCATTGATATGCTCAAGATGAAAGCGCTGACAATGTTCCGGGCAACTTATCTGGTCTTGGACGAGGCCGACAGGATGTTTGATCTTGGCTTCGAGCCTCAAATCAGGTCCATCGTGGGACAGATTCGACCCGACCGCCAAACTCTTCTCTTTTCGGCAACAATGCCTCGGAGAGTCGAGACTCTGGCACGGGAAGTTCTCTCGGCTCCCGTGCGTGTGACTGCTGGAGAAGTCGGCAGAGCCAACGAGGACGTCACACAAGTAGCTCAAATCGTCGCAACCGACGCAGACAAACTCCAGTGGATGCTCAGCAAGCTTCCGCAGATGGTGGATGCGGGGGACGTGCTCGTGTTTGCTTCAACCAAAGTGAGGGTGGAAGAGCTGGAAAAACACCTCCAGGACAGCGGTTTCAAGGTTGCGGCGTTACACGGGGACAAAGATCAAGCGTCACGGGTGGACGTTCTCCAGGGATTCAAGTCTGGTCAGTTTCACGTTCTAGTTGCAACAGACGTGGCTGCGCGGGGGCTGGACATCAAGTCTATCAAAACCGTGGTGAACTACGACACTGCAAAGGACATGGACACTCATGTCCATCGGGTTGGGCGCACAGGCCGTGCTGGTGACAAGGAGGGAGTTGCCTACACTTTGGTGACGCAGAAAGAGGCTCGTTTTGCCGGAGACCTCGTGAACGGCTTCGTTGCCGCCGGGCAAAACGTTCCAAGCGAGCTTATGGACTTGGCAATGAAGGTAATTTTTCTCTTTATTCTTTCTATACTTCGCTTAACTGGTGCTTTCTTCTCTGAGCAGGATGGACGCTTCAGGGCCCAACGGGAAGGGCGGAGGAAAGGTGGCAAAGGTAAAGAAAACAAGTGGAAGTCAAGGCTTGAGACGTGATGTGCTTGTTTGTTTCATTCAGGGAGAGGAGGCCGAGGTGGGGGACGGGGAAAAGGAGGTGGTGGTGGAGGTCGTGGAGTTCGTGGTGTTGATTACGGCCTGGGAATTGGCTACAGCCGGGATGCCTCGAGCAATCCTTCTGCGCCTGTCCATCAGGCTAGAAAGTCGTCTGGAGTGGGAGCAGCGAGCTCAAGCCCATCATCGTCAATGATGACACGCTTCAAGAACAGCTTCGTTGCTGCGTCATCGAGTGCTGGAGGTGCTGCTACAAACACCGTGCTACCGGGATCTGTCGCTGCTGCTAGTGCTCCTCTACGGGGATTTGTGGCCGCTTCTACAACAAGTACACCTCCTCTACGGGGATTTGTGGCGGCTTCTACAAACTCAAATTCTCCTCCTAGTTCCAACAAGGACTCCCAGCAAAAGAGGTGAGTTATATCTGATATCAACTGTGCTCCAACATGCTTATATGGTTTTCACAGACAACACCAGAGGAGGAGATTTGATACGTAAATCGGTACAAAGTGCTTTTTCGCCGGACATGAACTTCCAAGCGCTGGTTTGCATGTGTCCTTCGCCATGCCAAGAATGGTGGCAACATCCAAGCGCTTTCATCTGGTGAGCCAGGAATGGTCTCAACTTCGTCTCCAAACCAGAGAACCTGAGCGAGGCTAGGCTCGAGATAAGACGCTTGTACCACCAATGAGCAAGATTCAAGATTCGATGGCTGTCACCTTGTATCTGGAAGGCGTACATATATGTCGAAAGCTGCGTCCTCTCAAGAAAGCGTTATGGAAGGACAGTTATATAACATGTTCTCCTGCAGTCACAGCTCAAAAACTATATGTTCAAGATTAAAGTTTGCTTGTCATCCATAACTCTTCAGCATCACGGAAACTCTTAAACTCCCAAACGATTCTTACATGCTGAGGTGGGAAGAGCCTCATTCCATCTGGAGATGGAACTGAGAAACCAGAGCTTTCATGGTCCTTGTTGGTCTTCACTTCTCGTACTGCTCCTTGAAACAATGCTGGAAAACAAATGCAGTGAGCTTACACCAACAGAGGATGATCCTTAACATGCAAATGGCATAGTTGGTGTCTTTGATGTGATCGCAGGCTTCGTAATTGGACACTATCATTGCATCTTGCATACATGTGGTTTTTGGCAACATAGCACAACTGTGGTGTAAGATAGTCCCAAGAGCTCAAGATCCAATTCTGCAGCTAAGATTAATAGCATATGAATGGTTGTGAGTTTCACCACAAGGCACATTTAATAAGCCACTTTACCAATGTGCTCTAGCATTTTATATTGACTAACATATTGATAGGAAAGTTTGTCACTCTTCCTTGTCTATGAAAGCAGTAAGGTGTTTTGCCGCTCACTTGATGGAAAGATCATTTACACAAAGATGAGATCACCCACTTTATATTCTCAAAATTGGTGATGTTTATTAGTAAACTTTTTGTAAATTTTATTTGCACACCATTAGAATTTCATCAAGTTCTGTGGCTAGGTTAGTTATGTCTAAATCAAGCTTGTTTTAAACATCTTTACTCACATGTAATCTCAACTCCACCATTGTTCGGGGATGCTTTTCAAACATGGTAAAGTAAGGATTTAGTTTAGTTCCATTGTGTTAATTATTGTTATAAGTAAATTGCACCAACGGAAAATATAAATTCCATTATCCTTGCCTTTAACTAACATTACAATGTAGCATATCCTCTACCACCTAATTCACACACTCAGTTTACCTTGAGGATGATTTCCACTCGAGAGTTTCAAAGTCATTTATATAGGTTTTGCAAAGTTCTTCTAAAATCCATTTATGACCTTTGAATCTTGATCACTAATGATGTCCTCTAGCAAACAAAAATAAAAAAAAACCTTCTCCAAGTAGACCATAGCTAAGTTTGAGGCAGTGACAGTCTTTTGAAGAGCTAACAACCGCACATACTTCATCAACTGATCCACTATAACCCATATTTACTCCTTTTTGTGTTCATGGCAAACAAGTGATGAAGTCTATAAAGATACTATATCAATAGCTCTGAGGAATAGGTAAAAGTTGCAAAAGTCTCTTCAGCTTTTCCCATTGCTGACAAAGCTCACATGATTTACAATACTTGAGAATATTAGCCTTCATATTCCTCCAAAAAAAATTGTATTTAATCAACTCATACATCTTTTCCCCCCAAAATGACTGGGCTCTAGACGATCATAATAGCAAAATAAAACTTGAGTAATTAACACATCCATCCATGGCAAATATATACACGCCTATTGTAATAAAGAATCCCATGCACCAATAAGAAAGGTGCATCCATCTGGTCTCATAAGAGATCACCTCAGCATCCTAAGCTTTAGCACGTGCAACCAACTGCTGAAACTTGTTGACCACTTTACTCAAATGATGACAAAACCATGTTTGTAACACCATCACATGACAAACATAAGATAAAGCATCTGGCAATAAAGTTCTCGGCTGCAAAGAGAGCCTCAACATGGCTTCCCTAGCACCCACTCCAATGTTTGGTAGAGTCATGCTATGCCATCCATGGGCATGGCCTTGGGACCACATCTGCATGCCTATCAGGCGAGGGGGAGGGAGGCAGCAATGTGGTCCTTTGGGCATCCAAGGGAGGCAAGCCTGGGGGGCAGCACGGCTGCTTGGCAAGGGCCAGCGTCACACGGCAGGAAAGGGGAGGGGCCCCCACCTAGCATGCGATGGACAAAGTGTGTGGAGAAGGTGCTCAACCTGCGTGTGCATGAGGGAGGGGGGGGGGAGGCTTTGCATAGCCTACCACATGGTATGGAAGGAAGGGAGGGGAAAAAAAGGGAGGGGAAAGTTAAGGGCCTAAAACATAAGATTTTTCATAAAAAGTTGGAAAAGTGCTATGTGTTCCATGGGCTTTTCTGGGGCCCAAAATGTGTGATTATTCACAAAAAGTTGGGGAGGTACCCCAGATTTCACTAAGCAT